TTATCTCGTTTCTGCACTGGTAGGAAATTCACCAGAAAAGAAATCACATATACTGTCACTTTTTTCTCTTTTTTTCTTTTATTTTAGCATTTCACATTTTTAGACAGTAAAAAAGAAACAGAGGTGGAGATTGGAGCAGGATGTTTTTTTTTTTTTTTAGAAATATAAAATCACTGAATTTCTTGTTTTAGATTCAGAATATAAATTCATGTGGCTTCTTGTTAATGTGGCTCTCAAATTCAGTACATTAAGCTATTTTTAACCAAAAAAAAGGGTTCAAAATATGGATTTGTGAACAATTATTAAAAAAAATCACGCAATTAAGCTTCAGTGACCATAAAAAACACTGAAATCATCTGAATAAAATTCGGGTTTTTTTTGTTTTTGTTTTTTTTTGCCATATTACCCTCCATAAAGCATGCTGCTGCAGTCAGAGTATCGGTGGATCCCCCCTCACTTGCAGAGCCTTTATGCAACATTTGCCCCATTACCAGGTGTAGCTCAAGTGCTGATTAACCATTTCTGACACGCATGGTTGCATTCACAATGACAAAGACCAGATTTGAAACTTCTGACAACTCATTTGGAAACTTTAGGCAGCACTTATTCCGTTTACTCAATTCATAGCGAGACTTTTTTTTTTCATATATTTTACTCAATTGGAAATGCATCAAACGAGAAATTCCAGAATGCAAACTCAAGTACATCATTTCTTCATTTTTTTTTCTTAAGACATACTGATATGAAGGGATACATAGTTTTCTGACCCTGTGCTGGAGACTGCTCCTGAGATTAAAAGTTAATTTCTGGGTCAGCTTCCATTGCATGTAATGGCTTTGAAGTTGAAAAGACAGCGCTACAAATATTTATTGTGACAAAACGCTCCTTCCATATTGCACTACAGGAAATGGCTGTAAGCAGATGCTCCTTTTGGTAACATGCATTTAGAAATCCTTGCATGTGAAGTACTAAAGCAATCTGGCAGATTTTCAGAAACGGTGTGCCTCACATGAAGGAAGCTGCAGCGTATGAGCTGAATCACGCACGAGGCTGCTCAGACAAACTTGCAAAACATCAGTCAAAGGCGCCTCCGAGAGCTGCAGAGGGTGTGAGGAAAATCAGCCACTAATTGCTTGCTCATACATGCCGGGCGCATATTCCTCGCTTCTTGAAGAAAAAAAAAACAAAAACAAAAAAACAAAACACTGTTCACATTTTTGACCTTGATGAATTATATGTTTTTATTGACGGCACTTATTGATATTTCTTAAAAGCGGAGGCTAATGGAGTTGTGTTGAGAAGATTAAATGGGTTGCTGATGTCCAGATTAGCCAGGTCTCATCTCACAGGCACAGCTTGCATTATCATACAGAACTGACGCATGTCTGTGTGTGTGCGTGTGCCGAGTCTCAAATTGCTGCGAATGGCATCTCCAGGGGAACAGAAGAGCGATGACTATATCCGACCTACATTCACCCCATCCTGGCATGCTCGCTTTCAACTAATTACACACACTAACATGCATACTCAGTCAGGCTATCGGTGGAGTAATATCAGGGAAAAGCTGCAAGGAGAATGCTAATACAGTATGCATGCTGCAGAATAACACATCATTTTGGTGCTGTGAAAGTTATGATTGTCATAAACCTTTTACAGCTGTGCAAAAGTAATTTCCAGATGATGTGAAGAGGAACGTATCTTGGTGCTTAAAAGGAGTAAAAACAAAACTTAAGGCTATTGGAGTCCATTCAAAGGCCTCGAGGATAAAACGTCTAATAATAGATTCCATTCAAACATCTTGTGTGTTGAGAGTAATTCATATTTTAAACACATGGTTTTACACGTTTGATTTCTCAGAATAACTGACAGGGAAAATACGCCATTAACAAGAATTACGAAAAAAAGGAAAAAAAAGAAAAGAAAAAAGGGTGACGCAGGCTAGAGCCTATGAGCGCATCTCCTTACCGCTCTTTCAGTTTCCTGAGCTGTACAGCATCCTGGTTAGAGTGATGTGGTTTTTCACACTTTTAATGTGCGGGCCATTTCTACATTTGCAACCCACTTGTAGGCTAGAATCTGACGATCTGTGCAAGCCATAACTAAACTTGAAAGCACTGCAGGAGCGTCAAACTGCACCACCACTGACTAATTTTGTGACTTACACTTTTACAAAAAAAAAAAAAAAAAACCTTATTCCAGTTACGTCAGCTCTTTTTTTTTTTTTTTAATTTATACACCCAACTATGCAAAGGATATCAACATATGTTGGTAGGAATGCAATGGTAGAGACCCCAAATGTCAACCAGTCAAGAGTGTATGTCGATCGCAGTCAATTGCATTTTAAATGCAAAAAAAAATAAAATAAATAACCTTAAACATATTAAACATGACAAAGCAGCTGCTAAAGTTGTGATACTCAAGATATGTTTGTAAAAATCCTTCCCACAGTGTGAAAATCTTCAGCTTAAACAGGACACCAAACGGCGCAAAACCACAAATAATCATGTGGCCCAAGATTTTAGCTCAGGTTCAATCAGCGACAGCAATGAAGAAGATGGAAATGGCTGACCGTCTCCTCCTCTCAGTCTACTGTACTGACTGGTTATGGTTTTCTAAGAATACACATTATCTTGATTTCCTCCACTGTTACCATGTTTGCTGTTGTCTGAAACTTTCCTGTGAAATCAGTAGCTAGCGCAGAACTAAATGTAGTGGCTATGTTGCCTAGCAACCAGGAAATTTAGTCACTCCTTTTGTTGCAGAAGGTTGCAAAGAATGATGTGCAACGATAACGCCTTTAATGGCCAGGTTTTGGTTTTCTTTGAGATCTTATCTGCTGATTGGGATTTTCTCCTGTGCATCCTTACTTCTGTATGAAGTTTGAATTTATGAGCTGATGCTAATGATAAGTTACGTGCCTATTATATTATATTGATTAATAATAAACAAGTGATCTACCAGTAGACTAATTCTGAAACTAGTAGACTCTAAAATAAATAACTGTATTCAGGAATAGCTTTGTGGCCAAGAGTGTGTTATAAGTGTCAACAGCCATCAGATTGCTCAACTCCATTACTAAGGCTGTCTGAAAATGCTTAGTTACAGTTCTGGAACAAATGAAGAGTCCACTGCACTGAACCCTATTGAAAACCTGCATATTTAGCAAAGTAAATATACATATTCTTTTCTTACCTCCACCAGTAACACTTTTAAATATCTATACACATTTATAATCGCCCTTGTATAGTTTTTCAGCATTTTTTTTTTTAACGTATACTCCGGTAGCCAAGCAACGATATTTTTGTGGCCAAATTCACTGTTGTGTATTTGTGCAATGACAAGTAAGTCTAAGCTTTATATTTTATCCTCTGAGTGATAACCTGAATACTTTGAAGACCACACTATTGTCCAGACTATCGAGGCTGCAATCTTGATAAAAAGTGCATTTATTTGTAAAGTTTGATCAACAAGGGTCATACGCGCTTGCACCTGGATTTGTCCAACAACAACAGTTGAATATAACACTGCAACCCTAAAGCCAAGGTCTACAGAAAACCATTTAGTACTGAATGTAACAAGCCACTGCACACGAAGGTGGGTGGCACACAAAGCACAGAGCTGAAATCAGCGTTGGGTGAAAATGGCTGCAACTCAAATCAAGACTGCACGTATGCCGCCGGGTTACTGACAACTAAATAAGTAATGATGAAGGCAAAAGAGGAAACAACGGCTGCAAAATGAAACAATTAATTTCCTTACAACGTGCATTTTCACAAAAGCTAAAATCAATCCATCTATAACAACACATGCTTTCTCATCTCTGCCTCACCTACATTCATTCACATGCACAAGCACACACACACACAGGTCCACGCGCCAGATCTTGTCGCCCAAGGAAATGGGTTTCATACATCTTGTCTGACTGCAATAAAGCAGTGCCTAAGATTCTATTTCCAATAAACGTCGACTGATTGGAAAACTCATTCTAATATCAATTTCCATCTGGGGCCTTTAAAAGGCAATCAGCATAGCTTCATCTCGGTATATCATGGGCTCCTTGAGATGATGACACAGCACTGGCTTTCTCCTTCTGCATAATGGCCTTCTCCTATCAAAGCATCTGCAATGAATAATACCACCCATGAATGGGCTATTTAGTCTGTGTTCGCACAGATAGGGGCCACTTGTCTGAATATTAATCCAGGGTTTTACACTTCATATGGTTCTCTCAGGGCTGCAGTGTTTTTCATTCAGAGGAGTGAGGCACTTAGTGTGATTTGGCACACTCAGTTTTTTCCTTTTTTTTCTCTAAGCTTCCTAGGATGTGACAATGGTGATTACCAGAGGAACTACACTTTGTTTAAGATGCTCCCGCACCCAAAAAACAATGATTTGAGTCGGACAACATCGGTTTCAGCAAAATGCAGGTCCCAGAAATAACTTCCACAGGTTAAGAAAAACAAAATATCTCCTAACACAAACAAAAAGGTCGATATTTCATCTCTAAACAGCAGTAAAAACAGGAAGTTGTAGACCATTATTGTCAACAAATCAAAGGAAATGACAGCAAATAGCACCAGACGGCAACAAATATCAAGATCATTCATTTATGCCTTTACCCTTCAGTGTCCTCTCGAAACAAGAGCAACATTTTGTTGCATAAAAACTTCTGTGACCGTTTGCTTGTTGATCCAGACCAAGCAAAAGTATTCAGACCTCCATGATGTCATGATAAAATCAATTTGTAGAGCATTCTGGGCAGGAGGAAACTGCGGCATTGTTTTAATTTTTTTCATGAGTTAAAAAAAAAAAAAGAAAAGAAGATGAAATGAAGTAAGATGTGCATTTGTGGCCTCTGGGATTGAACACATTGTAGAAACTCCATGCAAGTCTATTAGAGGACCAGCTCTGGACATGTGGATACGGAAAGTTTTCTCCATCTTGCTTCACAAAACAGATCAAGCTCCATCGATATTTCATGCACGCTTCTTGTTCCTTACCTTCCAGCCGCTGCCTGCCTCCCTGTAGTAGGGGAAGTTATCACAGATCCACTGGTAGATCTCGCTCAGCGTCATCTTCTTCTTTGGCGAGCTGTTGATGGCGAACGTGATGAGGCTGGCGTAGCTGTACGGAGGCTTGCCGTCCTTGTGCTGCTGCACCTCCTCCTGATCCAGCGTGGTGGTGTGATCCAGTAAGGTGCTCTTCTTGCCCATCCCGGGCCCGTGGGCATTCTGGGCGTCTGTCTTGCGGATGGCCGCCTGCATGGTCAGCTGAGGGAGCCAGTCCATGGAGGTCAGGCTGCTCTCCAGCTCCGACGTCATGGTGACGGCAGGCCGGGCAGGAGGGAACGGGGGTAAAATTTAAAAAAAAAAGAAAAGAAAAAAAAAAAGCCGGAGGAAGTGGTTAACGTTGGTGAAAACAGTCCAAGTATTGGAACTGACAAGGAAGAGAGATGAAATGAGGATAGCTCAGGACGTCAGCATTGCGTCTTCTGTGCGTCCCTGGAGAAACAAAGAGGAGAGAGAGAGACGTGCTTTTATTAGCCAAAGGTTTATTTCATGGAGTACATTACAGCAGAGAGAAATAAACCGTTCATCTGCCACACAGCAGCAGACGAAAAACACAAGAAAAGCTCCTTGGCAGTTTCCACAACATCACCCAACCGCCTTTATGAAGTATCCTCATATTCTGCACACTAGAGATCACAAGCCCACCACTTTCTCCACCACTTGCTGCTCTCAAAGCTGACTCATAGCTGGGACTCCATCTGCACAGAGAGAGTAAATGCCAAGCAATTGTTTTCACAACTGCCAGCCAAATGGGGGAACGGCTCAGGAGGAATTCCGACTCTCTCGAGGGTAGTAAACCCCTTCTACATTTTTATCCCTGCTGCTCGCCTAACCGCCCGCCTCCTCCAAACGGAGCTTCTGTCGTAAACAAGCCAACTAGAGTCATCTTGCAAACTGTCCTCCACTATGCGTGTGTGTGTGTGTGCATGTGTGTGTGTGCGTGCTGCGCAGAAACCAGCCAGCAACAACCTGTCTCGCTGTCTCTCTCGGCACACCGCCATGCCGCTCTTTAAATAGATGATCCGTGTAGAAAGGCCAAAAGTTATGAACACAGGAATGTAGGGGTAAAAAAAAAAAAAAGAAAAAGAAAGAGAGAAACTGGGCGGGATGACACTGCAGTCTGTTGGAGAGGGGCCTGGCGGGAACATTCGGGAGGGTGAGGAATCCCCACTTTGTTGTGGGATTTTCTTTTTTTTTTTTTGCTTCTCTTGACTAAATATGCTCACAAGTGTGTGTTTGTTGGTGTGCGGCAGCTTCAGCATATTCAAGTCTGAGTGTGTGCCGTTTGGCTCTGAACAACAGGAGTCTTGAGGCCACCTCATTGGTTAAATCATGCATCTTTCAGTGACATGCAGGCCTAACAAGCTATCCCAAGATTTCATGACTTCACTTGGACTTCAAAATATATCACGATTGCAATCAGTGTGTGCAACATTCACGTCGCAAATCAGTGTATGATTAGTTTAATAATCGACTACTCAGATTTTTATTTTTTAAAGTCTCATTCTGCAGATTTGTATATTAGAAATACATTAAAATATGCAAATAAACAAGAAGAACATCTTATTGCCAAAAATGCATAAACAGCATTCCTTTAGTGAATGCTTGAGGATAGGTCTGCAGTTTAAGGAAAAAAGCTCAGGCCTTTCTGCTTGACTGAACATCAATATAAGGTATGGCTGATCGGTTGATTATTTGGATTAACTGATTAATAATTGAATAACAAAAGGCGCTTAATAGGATTTTTTTTTTTTTTACAGAATCAGAACCAGGTGAAGCCAAAACTATTCTGCTTGAGTTCAGGGTAGAATATATTTACAGATCTAAGTTTTTTTCATTTTAAGGCCAAAATGTGGATATTTTCTGTACATTTTAACTTAATTACTGCTCTGAGTCTGCTGTTCTTTCAGCAAATGGCTTTTTTGGGTCTGTAGACTCCAGTTTACGATTAATCAATTACTACATTAGCTGGCGATTATTTCAATAATCGATTAATCCCGATTCATCCTTTAATCCCAGTTAATCCCTTCAGTCCTAAAGGAGTGTTTGGAGAGCAGTAACTGTCGGTGAATATATTCCAAGTGTTTTGAACCTGCATGTTTCATGCTAAGGTAATATTGAGCAAGTTGGACAGAGTCTCAGGGCAGCAGATGTTCACACTGAACACTAATGACGTCGCCCAAAATGCTAAAGGTCACAGAGAGCAGGAAGCTCAGATAGGGACAGGAAATAGGCATATATGGCATCTGCTTTAGTCATCATATTATTTACCAATGTTATTGTCAGTGCAGGATATTTTAATATCGCGCAGGTTTAACAAGAGTAAACCTGCTGGTTAATTGTTAACATCTTGTTAATAGCATAACCGAAGGCGCTATTCAGATCAGATGGTGAAAATTCATGTATTTTTTTTCCCCCATATTGCAGGGTTAAAAAAATTTCTTTGTATTGTCAATTTTTTCCAATATGCTGCAGCTCCACTTTTGACTTTAATCATACCTTTAGAAATCCCGGAAAGGAAGTCATGCTGTTTCAAATAAAGCCGAAACTGATAAAATAAAATTCCATAAAATAAAAATTAGCCATCAAAAATGCCGGGTTCTCTGTGTGAACCAAGGAGCGGCTGAATATTTCTAAGCTCATCCCGAAGTCGCTGCAGTGTTGTGTTATGTTAGCCTGGTAACAGCTCCGGGGATGACATCACGTGCAGCGCTGGCAGGTAACGCAGGCGGAGCTATGCTTGATGACAACGGGAACAAAGACTTTCAGCTAACAGTTTATTATTCAGGGATTAGAGGGATCATTCTTAGCAACTTGTCCAGGTTTGTAGCGGCTGTTTTTAGCAAGCATGACAATCCCCTCCACCTTTACTCCTGCCGCTCTGTCTGAGGGCTCAGCCTGCAGATATAAAGTGAAAGGTGAGTAGAGGAGCTCCGAGATGTTTAATTTGTTTCCCTGCATATTCTCAAATCCCCATTTCCACATGTCCTGACATTTAAACTTCTTCCTTGATAACTGTTGCCCTTCTTCCCTCCATCTTCTCTTTTAATTTTGTAAAATGACTTGAAATATTTTTTAGATCTCTAGAAAACTTTAACCAGAGCCACATCATGTAAACAACTTGCTTGTTGGCATGGTGACATAGCACAGCAGATATAAAAACTACAGAAATACTACACAATTGAAGCAGCAAAGGGTATTAAAAAATGCATTTACTGCCAAAGGAATGAATAAATTCTGGTTTTGAATGTATTCAATCAAATCTACTTCTTTTCCAAGACCTTCTGTATTATCTGTGGTTCAGCTTCGCAGGGTTTCCACATATTTATCATTTCAAACTTTTATTTACCGACTCAAATATCTAGACTTTATTCTGCTTTTCCATAACATTTTGGATATTATGGATATTTCTGAGAATCATTTCTGAAGGCTCATTTTGTGAACTCTGACCTTTTTATTTTATCTGTAAAATTTCCAAATTATGGCAGTGCTTTGTTAGCAGTTTGGTATTTTAATAACACTTAGCCTAAGGAGCACAGGTCCAGTTCAAACTGAATTTGGTTTGAAGTTTAAAAAATAAAATGTTTCTTTGATTTTTTTCAATTAGTATGCATTTGGACAGTAGGTCAAATAAAATAAAGTGTTAACAATCTGGGTTTGATTTGACAATTCAAAGCTGAATAATATGTAAATACAAGTCAATTTAAAAATAAGGGAGGGGGAAAAACAGCAGAACATTTTTTATCTGTAGTTTTGTATTTTTCCATGTCTTCCCAGAAATGAAAAATAGTCGAAGGAAATGCCAGACCTTTCCAGACTGTGTAGGAGCCCTAATGCTAGCATTACAGGAATGAAATGAAATTATCTGTAATGTCATTAAAGTCAACATGTTACCTCATGATTTCCTTTGAATAAGCTCCATCTAAGTCAAAATGCAGCTGATGGTCAGAATCACATTTGGTAGAAATGCAGTCAGAATTCAAGCAGCAGGGTGCAAAATGCCCACAAAAACCAAATGTATCTTTTCAAAAATAATAATTTAACTACGATAGTACATTTTTATCACACATCCAAAATGTGGCTGAAGTATATT